CTAGTACTCAATGAAAAAAAAAAAGAACTTACACAGGTAAACGATTTTAGTTGATCTCAAATGTTATAGAATTGCTTCATTAAACATATGAAGATAACGAACAGTATTTAAGATCAAAGGTCCAATAAACAATACAAGACAGCAGCAGAGCAAACATTCTTATAATTATTTCTAATTATTGACAAACAAGTTGTTCGAACAGGACTATCAACAGTTCATTTTAAAGTCACCATTTCGCAAGCTAGAAAGATGATTTATATTTGATTCAAATGCCGTTCAAATGTTTTATAGTTTACGTTTCCATAAAATATTTTGATAAAAAAAAAGGGGTTTGCACACCTGGTACTGCTAATGAACTATGTTCATTATATCACGTGAAAGAAATATTCAATGCTTTATCGACACGATGGCATTTTTGAGATTGATTGCCGTTATTTTCATTTATTATACCTCTTTTGATTGTTTCCTATATAAAAGTAATGCAGTAAAATGTGAATAAATCCCTAGCTATAGAAATCTCAGTGAATGGACTAATTCCCCGTGTGTTAGTTAAATGAGCTAATTCCTGCTTTGGAAGCCAATTCCTCGCTTATCCGTAATCCTCTTTACTTTACTTTTGTATCAGTCTAATATGCTAATGAACTAATTTCCCGTGCGTTAGTCTTGAAGCTAATTCCGCGCCATTTGTAAATCTCTATTTGTATCGGTTTAATAAAACAGTTAACAAGTATATCATTGAGGGAGTTAGCAAGATTCCAGTTCCCCAAGAGACTATTATTCATATAATAATGATATACTATAACTGTATGAAAAGATTGTTCATCATATATCAATGATCAGTGACAGAAAGGGATTTGAGTTTTTATTAATGTTTCCCTGGATAAGCTAAAGGATATACCAATTAATTGACCAACACTTGATTTTCTATTTGAAGTATCAAAATAAAAAAGAGAATTTTCATATCCTAGTGTTGATAAAAACACTTCCAAAAGACGAAATTGTCCCAAACTCTTGGAATGTTTAGAAAAATTATTGTTTAAGTTATCCTTATATTCCTTTAAGATTTACAGAAACAATAATTAATCTTATAACCTGGCAAAATTCAAATAAATGAAAAGGTAAATTTGCAAAATTTTTTTTTATGTTTTAATTTTTTGTTTTTTGGGGAGATATAAAGAAACATTTTTTATAAAAAAGTTTAATACATTATATTTTGAAAAATATAAAACGACAGCGTGCAGGAATATCCAAACAATTATTTTAAAAAATCAAAAATTGTTCTCTTTTTGTATGAAATTCTAGGAAATGAATCCATTTTGCTTTAAGCCATTTTCATGCACTTGACAAAACTGCAAAGGCCTAAGAAGTGCCTAAAACAGGTTTATATGCTATTTTCTTAAATATTAGCCTTGTTGTTCCATTCTGAGGAAGTTCAATTTCTGGAGGAGTCTAGAAAATAATTTTTTTGCAAAAAAATTGAAAGGTTTATGCGGGAAACAGAATTTCACTACATTAAATGTCTTCATGACGGCTTCCAAACGCACAGGCCATGAAGAGTAAAGGAGTGTTTGGGATAAACAGAAAGTTAATGTTTTGTCACACCAACAAAATTTGCACCTTTGACATTTTCTTAATCTATCAGAAAAAAAAAACAAGTACAGCAAATCATAGAATTTCAAGTGTGTTCGAAAAACAATTAGAGAAAGAAAATGTTACGGATATTCGTTTTAATTGAAAGAAAATATTTTAGTTAAATCATTACCATATTTTTTGTTTCGATGACATTATTTATTGAACGCCCCTAGATAACTGTATAAATACAGGTACCGACTGTTTGAAAAGATTGTTCAATGTTTCTACTAAAAATATATCTGATTTTATTTAAAAAAAAAAAAAAGTACGTTTGTTCTCTTCTTTTCGTGACAGAAAGGGATTTGTAAGGAGAAAATATATAAAAACAAATGAAATTATCAATGTTTCATCAGATTCTTTGTTTAAGGATATTATTTAGAGCTTACTATTTACTGAGTTTCTGTCTCAAATATTATATGTGTGAAAAATTAAATTTTTCAGCGTTAATTTAAATTAAATGTTCTTTACTTGAAATATTTCTATTTAAGAAAGAAAATGACTCAGCAAAATTCGAAGAAATACCTTTTCGTCTTTTTCCCAAACTAAAAAAAAAAATAGTCTATTAGGTCCGTGTTTCCTCTGCTTCTATTTTGTATTGTTTTATGAACTTTTGATTTGGAATACTGTTCGTTATCTCCATATGTTTCATGTTTAAGTTTTCTTCTAAATTAACTACATTTCGTAAGAAAACTTGATTCAACTTTTTTGACATCAGATACGAATTTATTTCAAATTAGCAATTCTAAAAGATCTTAGAAAAGAAAAAAAACGTTCTATGGCCTTCAACTCGACATGTAGTTATATCGACGACGTATTGTCAATTAACAATGGTAATTTCCATTCTTATGTCGATACGATGTATCATGGTGGACTTGAGATAAAAGATACCACAGGGTCTGACACATCTGTTTCATATTTGGATATTTTACTATGGTAATCTAACAACTAAGCTCTATTATAAACGTGATGACTTGAACTTTACAATTGTAAACTTCCTTATGCAGCAATATACCATCATCACCTGCATACGGCATTTATATATCTCAGTTGATTCGATACGCAAGAACATGCTCTACGTATGAGGAATTTCTAACACGAGGTAAATTTTTGATAAACAAGTTGATGAAACAAAAATATCAGCAGTCTCCTTTAAAGTCATCATTTCGTAAGTTCTTTGGTCGAAACAATGACCTTGTCAGCAAATACAATTCATCATTGTCAAATGCTGACTGACGTATTTAATACTAATTGTTAGTCCATTACTTATACACTGGATTGACGACGGATTTTTCCATTATTTCCCAATCATGACAAGAAGCACATGGCGGATGTGACCGGTCGGCAGGGGATGCTCACTCCTCCATGGCACCTGATCCCACCTCTGATTTTTCAGAGGTCCGTGTTTGCTCTGCCTCTATTTTATATTCATTTTTGGACTTTGATATTGGAATACTGTTCGTTAACTCCATATCCTTCATTCTGAAATAAGTCCTGTTCTGATAAAAAAAAATTCATAACTGTTAATTCACGAAATGCAAGGACGCAACATATCGTATGTGATTAGATAAAGTAATCTTTTTTTCCAAATAAGATCAAGGAGTATATTTCTTCAGAGGTTAAGACATCGGATGACCGACGATGGAGAGGAAATAGAAATATGTCTTAAATCGCAGTTATGCAGTGGTAAAAATTATTTTCGCACTTTTTCTCAATTGTCCACTCGCACGGTTTTGTACGGCAATGAAAGCATTTAGACAGATTGTATGAAGCATGTTTAATATAATGGTAAATAAACATTTTTTGCAGTTGGAAAAATGATATTTTTTGTGATAACAAAAATTTGTTTAGTTTGTTTATATAAATAAAAACAACGAAATACTTTGTGGAAATTTTACTGTAAATACTCAAATACAAATAATTACAATAATTACTTTTAAACCTTATTATCTAAAAAATCAAAACAAATGAACAGATATCGATATGAAATAGTATACACAATAGCTCGTTAGACAGGATGACATTACGTCGAAAATAGCATCAATGTAGGAAAGAAAGAAAAAATTCAAATACAATTGCAGTTGCAGGCAGTGAGTCTAAATGTTTTTTTTAAGTTCCAGATTAAATTTGTAAAACTGCTAGATCTGTAATTAACAGAATGTAAGCTGTTCATATGAGTTCTGTAATCTGATGCCCTGGTTCAACAAATTAACAACTCCTCGACCTTCATGATAATTTTCCTAATTATCTTCGGAGCAGAAGCATCAACATCATCAATGTTAGTACATGTTTCAACACCAAAACGTAACGTACGGCTTTCTTTTCATTGTTTCATTCCGTGCCTCCGTGAGAACATTCTTTCAAAAACACGGAAATAAACACTTAAGACTTAAGTTATATTAGTTCAAATGCAAGTCGTCTAAAGAATAAAGTCATACCCTAAAGTTCTCTTTGTTTTCACTAAATAATTTTCCTTTATTGAAAATTTCCATGTATAAGGTGTCAGAGCACATCAGCACAACATTTATGTAAATTAGAAATCAATGACTGGCCCGTGAACAAAATGGCGCCCTCGATGAATACAGAAAAGAATTCTATACCATCCAGATATTTCTGAAATTGAACAAAATGCTAGTGATTATTGTAATGATGAAGTGGCAACTTTTTTGTTATTGGAACATTTAGATCCTTCTTTTCGATCCCGCAACATCAATTATTATACAAGCCCATTAATTTCTCTAGAAAAAAAAAGAAATTTTCAGCAATGCTTTCAAACATCTAGTTTTTTGCGACTAGCAACATAAGTTTTGCTTAAATCTATGTCGGAAAGAGAGAGTTAGAGCTTCCCTATTCTGTAAAATCAAGCTATTGCAACAAATATGTTCAAAATGATGATTTATTATGTTTTTTAAGTTATCACACCATACATTTCTCTTGAACTTGTGTTCACTTGGTATTTATGTTTACTGTCAATCAGATTGGGAGTCCTTATAATAATTTTTTTGTATTCATATCAATCAGAATGTTTTCAAATTTTTTTCGTGAAAAGAGGAAAACATTTGATGTGGCCTTCAACCCGACTTTAAAATATATCGACGATCGATGCATTGTCAGCAATTACAATATATCAGGAAGGATAAATTACAATATGAAACAAATGTGTCATCAATCTTTTCTATCTATAATAAATTGTAAATAATACGTTTTATTTTTCTAGAATTGTTGATGATTTTGTAAGAAAAAACCATTCTAATGTCAATACGATATATCCTAGTGAGCTTGAGATAAAAGATACCACAGAGTCTGACACATCTTTTTCATATTTGGGTAATTCAATTTAACTTTTACTTTTAAATTTAACATATCTTGCGCATGCTTAAAAGTTTTCGAATGGGACGTAAAACAACATACAATCAATTGATAAATCAAAGGATAATAGTACTGACCAATTCCTTACCATTCTGCCAAAGATATTATTACAATCTTGTAGGCCCTGAAAGGAAGTAAAGTAATGATTAAAACTAAAGTGATGCGATTCAAATCCATATTACAAACAATTAACTTAATTTTAGTTGTAACACGTCATTTAAATGAATAAAGATTTTATTATTTTTTTATAACAAAATTTGCCTACGTAACAATGAGTTAGTTAAAAAAAGTGTTACTCCACTTGACGTTAATTTTAAAATATGCTAAATGTAAAGCCATTTTTCGAACACTACATTATCTTATTGTCGACACTGAAATTTGATGATAAGAAATGCAGCTTATTTTAATCAATGTTAAACGATACAACAAAACTTTGGGCAGAATACTTTTTTTATAAGCCGCCTCAAGTTTTTTTGCATATTTCATCACATCTACATAATTGATGCAGTACGTTTACACTGTCGTAGTACAATGTGCTTTGATGTGTGCTGAGTTTTCAAACTAGAAAACTAATGAAACAAGAGGCCCACGGGCCTTTTAGGTCACTTGAGTATCATGTAACAACTTTCCAACAATTGAATTTGGTTAGTGTTTTAAACCAGAGGCCATGAAAATCACAATTTTGAAAGAGGTACCATAGCTTATTATAACGATACAGTTAGCCTGCTTATTCCGGTTACTTAATACTCAGAGGTAGATCACAGTAACAAAGAGAAAATGCATTTCAACTGTATAATCAGTTGGGCTCCCCATCCCATAGGAACTACTGACCCTGGGGTAACATATTTCAAAATTTTGGGAATTTTTATCATAAATTTTATTTTCATCATTAATGGTTGATTAATAGCAAAGAGCAAATTTCAAAGCGTTAATATATTTTCAGATCAGACTATGTAACCTCCTAATACCCCTGACCTAGGCTCCTGAAATTACCAATTTGGAAGATGTGCCTTTCTTCATCATAAATATTTACTTAAATCATTGGCATAATACCCAGGAGCATAGGAAAATATTTTCAAAGAATTTATGCATTTTCACTTCACATGAATAATTAATTGAGTCCCGCCCTAACACCAAATTCACAAATTTTGAACCCTTTTGTACAAAGTGCATTAAAGAATTTATGCAGATATATATAGATAGACCATATTAACACAATTTTGGAAGAGGCTTTATAAAAACATGTGTATTGCTTGTTCAATATAATCCTTGCAAATCTTAGGTATGATAAATAATTGAATTTTTTTTCAAAAAGCTGTTTGATAACTCTTGCATTAATATCGGCACTTTGAAAAAATGTGTATTGCCTGTTCAATATTCTTGCAAATCTTAGCTATGATAAATAATTGAACCTGTTTGATAACTCTTCGGTGATGAGGTCACTTCAGGATGTGAAATTGAGCGATTTTGTTTTTTCCATATTTTGAAAATTCTTTCACTCTTAAGGATGTACAACACACCTACCCCAAAAAATTCCTGTCGTTTAATTTTCGTTATTTTTTTATATTTAGTACATGACTATATCTACTGCATGTATGCACATTTTGGACAAAATCGTTAGAGTGGTTTTTGGACAGGAAATTCCAAAAGTTACCCCCATTTAGTTGTTTATAAGGAGAGAAAATTTTTAATCAATGAACTACTTAAACCTTGATTTCCTAAAAAGCCAGGTTAGATATAACTGTCAAATTTCAATGACTTCTTCCTTTAACCATTTAACACAAAACAGTCATCTTTTTGATATACATATCAACTAATCAATTTTTAAAGACCTTAAACTGAAAAACTATGAATTATCTAAGCCTTGTAACTTGTGTATTTTTCAAATTCAAAATTTTTTGTGAAAAAAAACCTGTCGTTTAATTTTGGTAAAAAACTTTCTTTAGGTAGCTGATAGTAAAAATATTCTTCATAATTTTTTGTATAATTTTCGTACTACATGTACCAGTTTTGATTTAATCGCGGAAAATCACCCCCTTCCCCTTTCTCAATAAATCACATTCCCGCGCGTCTTTCAGACGGGGGTCGATCACTTTGCTATGAATCTAAAAATGCACATTTTTTAAAAAAAATCAAATTGGAATATTGCTTTTGCTTCAAAAATATATTAACTTACTTATTTAAAAGTTCTTATATGTAAAGCGTATTTAAATGTAGACTTTAAGGCAATTTTTGAATACCCCTACCACCCCCACCCCTTCTTTTTTTGCGTTAGGTCAAGTTAGACTTTTAAAATTATTTCTCTATTTCTTTAAATAAATGAAAAGACTTTTAATTAAGCACTGTTACCATCATCCACTACTGGTTCGGTAAGGTGAGAAGAAGGTTTTCCTATCTCTTCCCTTTCAAACTTAGGCATTAGTGAATCTTCATCACCTGAATGTGGAGGAAGAGTTAATGCCAGGTTTTCTCCGACTGGTTGCAGATTTCCCCTGAAGCCTTCGACCGCAGGCAAACTTGCAATTGCAGGGATATCTCCTGAAATTTAAAGTAATTAAAATCACCGATATTTCTTGATTTTTCAAACATAAAGGTCCATTGATCTTAATGTAAATGAAAAAAAACTAATTAATTTTGGAAATAAAGTAAGTTGTTACTGTGATTTCAATGAAAACAAAAGGGCAAGATATAATTTTTACCTTCTGTTAAGTTCGCCCGCGTGGAGTAGTGGTTAGAATGTTTAATCTAAATTCGTGGAGTATGGAGTTCGAGTCCCATCGAGGACGTGGATTCAGGTTCATTAGATGAGACCGTATAAACAGAGGTTAAAGTACACAGGTAGATGTTGGCACAAAAATTTCAATCATTGCTCAAGGATTTTAAGTACCAAATACTGGCTCCAAAGCCATCAAACCTAGATGAACCTACTTTTGATATCAGTCTAACTTTTACCAAGGAATTAATAGTGAAAAATTGAAACTGGGATTAAAAGTGAGCTCATCTAAGTCTTATGTGGCCCCTGGTCTTAATTTGCAGTGACAAGTTGTGACGTTAGACATAATTTTGGGAGAAATTGTGTATCTTTTTGCGAACTGTATTAATACACTTTCATCATTTAATTTCATATTTCTCAGTTGTAGAAAGAAGCATTAGATATAATTATAAATTTTTAAGATGAAAATATGTATCTGTTATAAATAAAACAGTGTTAAGAATTTTCTTTGTATGAAAGGTCTTAAACATGAAACCTGATTAGTGCCCTAATTTTGGTGCTTAATTAGTGTCTAACCGTTGCCCTAAATGTACTAGGTGTATTGAACAGTAACAATGGTACTGCGGCCTTAACACTTGGAGCCTAATGCCCTAACATGTGCCCTAAACATGGAGCCTAATGCCTTAACAGGCGCCCCTAATCTTGGAGCTTAATCCAATAATGGGTACCCTAATCACGTTAGGTGCCAGACAGAGAGTATATGAGGAGACAGTAAACGGATATACATATACATGTATACATAGCTTGGATTTTATTTGGTAAAATTGCACTTGGATATTATTAATACACTCGTTGAAACAAACTCTGACGTTCTTCTTGTATTATAGGTCTATAAAGATCAAGAGTTCCGGAATTAAAACACAGGGTCCACAACATTTTGTGACGAGGGCAAAAACAAATCCTCTTAGAAAACGTTACAATATCATAAAGAAAAGGTCCATGTTCATAATAGCAAACAAAATTATAGCACCGACGAAGAAAAAATATTATCTTTTGCAGTACAGGCCTTTCAATTTATTTACTTTAAAATATATTTCATTCAGTGAAGTGGATTGAACAGCAGGCATAAATGCCTATGATCGTTCTCTCCATAGGTCAAGGTACAATTACAAGTACATATAAACATTTAAAAATGTATGAAGGGTAGAGTATCCATTGGTACATATTTAGAATGAATTCAGAGAGAGAGAGAGAGAGAGTAAAACAAAAGAATAGAAAAAAAATTAACAAATGAAAAAAAATATTAATGATATAAAATATAAACAAAAAAACAAACAAACAAAAAAACAACAAACAAAAACAACATATGTTTGAACAATTGTTGTTGACCCAGAGTAGCAAAAATTTCCTAACAAGTAGCTTGCCAAAAGTAATATTTGTTTCCCAAAGAATATCATTATAAACTAAAATTTCCATAAAACCTTTTAGAGTTTCTTATGAAAGTGTGTACATGACTTAAAAAATGAAAAATTACTGAGTATTATCGAGACTTAGTGAATCAACACCATATTATATGTTGAAATTGACATTAACAGTCTTATTAGGGTTAAATTCAACTATATAATCCATTGATTTCACAATTTTGGTAGAGTACTCAATGGTCATTACATGCCTTATTTTGTCAAGGTCAGCAGTAAGAGATATGGTTTTGGCCCCATGGGTTATCTATGTCAGCATCAACAATAACAAACAAGTTGACCTAAAAAACCAACAAAAACAACATCTGTTTGTACAATTGTTGTTGACCCAGAGTAGCAAAAATTTCCTAACAAGTAGCTTGCCAAACGTAATATTTTTTTCCCATGGAATATCATTATAAACTAAAATTTCCATGAAAACCTCTTAGAGTTTCTTATGAAAGTGTGTACATGACTAAAAAAAATGAAAAATTATTATCCAGACTTAGTGAATCAACACCACATTATATGTTGAAATTGACATTAACAGTCTTATCAGACTTAAATTCAACTAGCCATTGATGGGACCACTGCCTTATTTTTTCAAGGTCAGCAGTAAGAGATATGGATGGGTTATCTATGTCAGCATCAACAATAACAAACAAGGATGTGTCATCTGCAAACTCCAGCATTAATGTTAATACACTTTCCAACTCCAGAGGAGTATCCCTCTAACACTACCTTCTGAACTCTATCACAGAGATAATTCTCAATCTAACCTAAGATTTCACCTTTGAAACCATATTGTTGCAATTTATATAACAGACCTTTATGCCATACTTTATCAAAAGCTTTAGATATGTCACAGAAGACAAACCTAACATCTTTGCCTTGATCAAGATTTGAAATGATTGTGTTGTAAATTTCAACAAGCTGATTAACAGTGGAATCACCGGGCTATAGAAGCCTGATTGATTTTTCGAGAGACGATTGTTATCATTCATATAGTTGTAGAGATATTTAAATATATTTTTTTCGATGATTTTACAGATGCTACTAGTAAGTGATATTGGTCTATTATTTGCTATTCTTCTGGGCTCCCTTTATTTTTTAATACAGGTGTTATATCTGATTGCTTTTAGTTTGGCTCGAGGGTCGACAAAACGCATTTTGCCCGAGAACATAGTCAATAAATGTTTTGTTATACCTTTCTTTTTCTTCTTTTTTTTTTTTTTTTTTTTTTTTTTGAACATACATGATTTTTGTGTTCTTCCATTCTGTTACCTCGGGTGCGTCACTTTTGAACACCAACCAATGAAAATGATATTAAGTTCCGCCCATTCTGTGACGTAAGCGGTCCAACATCTCTTAGACCGGCCCAACATCTCACTTTCGTATAGATTTGTATAGGAACACATTTTTAAAGGTATAACAAAAAGTATTGTCTACTTATAATCGATTTATAAGCAATTCAACCTACTTTTTGCGAGAAACGCTGATTGTTACAAACGACTAAATATTAAGCAAAAAAGTTTCTACTACGATATCAATGTACCATTTCAAAGCCCATATGACGTTGTCTTGGAAGGGAATGGCAATAATCCTGCCACCATTCCGTCAAAAACTCCTTTACAACAAGCAGTCACCCCAGGTGCTTCTTTTTATGATAAATCAACTAATCGAGCTTATGAGGTGAAAGTATGTACATGCACACTGTATATAGTCGTTTACAATTTAAAGTCTTTTTAGGTCACCTGAGTAAACTCGGGTGACCTATTGCTATCCGTTTTCGTACGTCGTCGTTCGTCGTGCGTCGTGCGTTAACATTTGAACATTTTCGGCTTCTCCTCTGAAACCGCTGAACCCATTTCAGCCAATTTTGGCATATAGCATCTATGGTTAAAGGGGAACAAAAATTGTGAATTTCATGGTCCCTGTCCCCCTGGGGCCTGGGGGGTGGGGCCAAAACCACTAAAATTAGTGCAATCTTTAAAAATCTTCTTCTTTACTCCTGGACATCAAGCAATCAAACTGTTGACATGATTGTAACCAGCATTGAGTCCTCTACCAAAATTGTGAAATTCATGGCCCCAGGGTCAGGGGTTCTAGTGCTAGGGCGGGGCTACATTGATTATATAGTGAAAATGCATTAATTCTTTGAAAATCTTATTCTCTGCTCCTGAGTATCAAATAGCTAAATTAGTACATAGTTATAATGAGCAAGAGTGCTTCTTGTAAAATTGTGAATTTTATGGCCCCAGGGTCATGGGTTCTGGTGTTAGGGCGGGGCTCTATTGATTATATAGTGAAAAATGCATTAATTCTTTGAAATCTTCTTTTCTGCTCCTGAGTATTAAATAAACTAACTAAGTACATAATTATGATGAGCAAAAACGCCTCTACCAAAATTTTGAATGTTAGGTCCCCAGGGTCAGGTGTTCTAGTGTTTGGGCGTGGCTCTATTAATTATATAGTGAAAAATGCATTAGTTCTTTGAAAATATTTTTCTTTGCTTTTGGATATAAATTAAAATAACTAAGTACATAGTTATAATGAGTAAGAGTGCCTCTTTTAAAATTTTGAATTTTAGGCCCCCAAGGTCAGGGGTTCTTGTTTTAGGGTGGGGCTCTGTTGATTATACAATGAAAATGCATTAATTCATGGCCCCAGGTAAAGGGGTTCTGGTGTTAGGTCGGGGCTCTATAATGATTATAAAGTGAAAATACATGTACATTAATTCTTTGAAAATCTTCTTCTCTGCTCCTGGGTAATTAACACAGATGAACTTCCTATATAGTTATGATATGCAGGGTTTCTTCTTCCAGAAATATGAATTTCCAGGCCCCTTGGTCAGGGATACCTTAGAGGGGCTCTACTTAAATACTGAAAATGAATTGTTTGAAATCCCTCCTCGGTATTAATCAAACATTTTTAATACGCAAGTGTGCCTTTTCATAAATTGTGCAATCTTTGAACCAAGGGTCAGGGGTTCGTGTGTGGTAGAGGCACTTCTGATTATTGCTGAATATTACTGATTAGTTAATAATTGCTAAGTTTATAGTTATGATTAGCAATGGTGCCAGCCTCTTTCAAAATTGTGAATGCTGTAGCATCTGTCTTAAAACATGAACCAAATTCTATCATTTGAAAGTTGTTGCATGATTCTCAGGTGACCTATAAGGTCCATGGGCCTCTTGTGTTCATTAATTGCATAAAGGGAAAAACATGAATATAAGATTGATTGATTTTATGTTGTTTTCAATTTTATTGTCGTATGGAACGTTAAACTTCGTTCAATTCAATAACCAAACATTCATAAATTTTTCTTGAAATGCATTAAATAAAAAAATTAATTAAGCACTGCTACCGTTATCCACTACTGGCTTGGTCAGGAGAGAAGGCGGTTGTGCTATATCCTCACTTCCAAATTCAGGCAAAAGTGAATCAGGTAAAATCAGCCCAGTGGCAGGGAGACGTCCTGAAATTTAAGGGAACTCAAATCACTGGTATTACAGAATCTAGCAAGCAAAAGGGCCCATCGATCTTAATGTTGTTAAAGTTTCATAACGAAAAAAAAGAATTTTGGGAATGAACTTCCTCGTTAATATTTCAATAAAAACAAAAAGTTTTTTCAGATGGGTAATGTGACTGTCTAAGTTGTATTTTTGTTTATGGATTCGTTCGCATAACGGAGTACTTAGAACGTTTCTTCTAGGACCGTATAGTAGGGAGTCCAAGTCCTACCGCGAACGTGGATTCAAATCCATTGAATGAGACTGCTCAAACCATGATCGCAGTAGATGGTGGCACAAAAAGATCACTCACTGCTCCCTGTCGTAGGAGCCAAGCAAAAGTCTAAATTTGCAGTCTTCAACTGACATATAGTAATAAATTATTACAACGAAAGACCAAAAACACTTCCGATCGACTTTGTGCATTTTTTGAATTGCGGAATCTTTATTGATTTTATTTAATAAAATAAAAACTTTTTTCCTTTTAATATTCATTTCATTTGTATCCTCTGTCATTTTTTGTAACATTTATAACTGGACGATTTTTCAGTTTTCTTTAAGGAATAATTGTCTAATTTTTTGGTTTCATGATGTAATCAAACGATTGGTTTTTGATTGATTATCATCATGATATCAGAAAATTTGACAATTATTCCTTATATTTACATTCTCTTGATTCTGCTAATTCACATGCTACAGGTCTCAATTTTGTCTCGCCCCGCACGTGATTTTTTTAACCACGCCTACCGATGAACCAATACATTTATGTAGAAATAAAGTATTTTGCACTTTGTAATTTTATCTCGGACAAAGACATTGGATATGTAAATATCAAACTTTATTTTTGTATTGAAGAAGAGATATGGTTTATAGAAGCTCCAAATCTTTTTTGTACATTCATTGAGGCTTTAAATCATGATTTGACACCATCAAACATGAATATAAACATGTATATGTGACCTATTGTTTCAATTCAATTTGCATGGATTTCAAATCCAAGAGGTATGATTCGGTTGTACAATAAATTTCTTATTTTTACTACTAATTGATTTAATTGCACATATGAAATAAAGAAGTTAAGACGTCTGACGTGTACATACTTTCTTATAAAATCGCTATCAGGGTATGATAATTTTTTTAAAAGCATATAAAAAAATCTTTTGTACACATTTAAGGAATAAGCAATCAAATCTGGCAATGTTTATTTGTTTCACTATATACATTTAACACTTCTTCAACCCGGAGGATACCCCCCCCCCCCCGATCTGCGCATGTTCTTCTTTACCTTTTAGTGGGGGACACACATTCTCTGAATTTGTTTTTATACAAACAAAATAAATGAAGAAGTCATTGTTTCGACTTTGTTTCTGTTAATGATGGTAATGCTGAATGAACATTGTGAAAATATGGGATGGAAAAAAATCAATGTCTTTGATATTGAATATTTCATCTTTTTACATTTGCAATTATTAAAACATGTCTGTGACGTCATCTTTTGTTAAACCCGGTACAATGAATTTCTTATTGTTCTGCACACCGTCCAATAAGTTATCTGTAGGTGTCCAATAAGTTGAAACTTATTGGACAGTCACAGGTAAACTGCAAAAATGAATCAAAGAAACAAGGCTTTTAAATAAATTTGATTTTAATTCTGTAAAATTAACACCGAAAATCACAAGAGAATGTTATTTACGAGCTTTAGTAATTAAACTTCACATTAATTGTAACACTCGCATCCTTCTGAACATTCACAGAAATTGTTGGACACGGACACTGACATGACATTTTTGAAGAATCCACATCTTTGGCTTTCTTGGTAGGTGAGCTCGATGTTCCTGGTTTTCTCCCTTGTACGATATCACTTACACGTCTTTCTTGACCCTCAGAGGTTCGCTTGTAATTTCGTACCGAAAGTGATTTGTGGCCCGTTTTCTCAGTTATCAGCTGTTCGTCTACGCCTGCTGAATAAAGACGTGTCGCAGCTGTCGCGCGCAGAGAATGGTTGGAGAAAAAGCCTTGAAATTCTACAATCCTACACAACTTGGCAACGGTTTGTTGAAGTGGATGGATACCGACAGGGGCGTCGTCATATCATTTGTCTGTTGTGAAAAATTTAGACGGAGGCAAATAAAAGGCGGATGACTTCCCGTCCTTGGATCTGTAAAAAAAAAAATCTTGAATTCATTATAAAGTATACATTGCGGATACAAATTGAAGTTCATGATTTTTGCTTCATTCTAGTTGTACAGAATAATGTAGTAAAAACGTTGAAATTTACCTGAGGTTAATACACTTTTCGTACAGGGATACAATGCATCTCTCTGGACATTCCAGATTTCCATATGCGTTCACTATTTTTGGGGCCGTTTTGCGACTATTTAGCCCTCCAGTTGGATATTTGGATATGTCCTCTCTGTACTGCAGATATCGTCTTTCGTAACAGCAGACGTTTTCAAAAACAGTTGTAAGTTTTCTCCAACACGCAAATTACGATGTTCTTGTCCAGCTCTCAATGCAAAATTAAGTCCAATCAAATAAACCATTGTATCAAGAAGTTGCTGTGGACTTTGAGAACCAAGAATTTCCTTCTCCCACATCATATTTTCTTGCTCCTCGGTGATAACTAATTGGACAGTGCCAGATAAGGGTATTGAAGTGTATGAATCATCCACGCAGAACGAGACTTTACCTGTGGCTGTCCAATAAGTTAACAATGGGAGTGTTCGACAGTGGTGAAATGTTTTAAGGTAGTTATAAGCCTCAAACTGACCATTATGTCAGATATTGGACTATCCTCGGCGCTAACGCGCCTCGGGTCGTCTAATATCTGACATAATGGACTATTTTCGGCTTATAACCATTACATAAACTAGGTTTATCGACTATAAACTATAGTTTACAAACCGTGAACTATAGTTTACAATTCGTGAATTATAGTTTCCATTTGTAAAACTATATTTAACGATTGTTAACTACGGTTTACGTATGCTAATCTAAGTTTCTCTGTCTCGAATAAAACGTCAACAATAGATTTTGTTGATAAACATAGATTCAGGTCTGTAAACTTTAATTTACAATCGTGAACTATAGTTAAGAGTTGTTAATCATAGTTTCACAAATCGTGAAACTATACTTATCAGATCGTTAACTATAGGTAAGAGTTGTAAACCATAGTTTACAATTCGTGAAACTGTACTTATCAGATAATCTATGTTTTGCAATCGCAAATGATTGTTTTCAATGTTAAGTATAATTTACGATTCTGAAACATAGATTATCGTGTTAACTATGGTTTAATTACAGATGTAAAATATAGATTAACGTTGTTAACTATAGTTTACAGTCCGTTAACTATAGTTTAAACCGATAAATCTAGTTTATCGACTGTAAAACTATGTTTAGCTCATTTTTGTGAATTTGGCGTGCCATAAATAATTTATTTTCACTACATAATCTATATAGCACCGCCCTAGCACCAGAACCCTGACCCTGGGGCATGACATTCACAATTTTGGAAGAGGTAGGCTTATTCAACTAAACTATGTACTTGGTTAGTTTATTCAATACCCAGGAGCATAGAAGAAGATTTTCAAAGAAATGATTCGTTTTCACGATAAAATCTATATACCCTCGCCCAAGTACTAAAACCCCTAACCCTGGGGCCATGAAATTTACAATTTTGGAAGAGAAAATCTTATTCAACTTAACTAATTACTTGGTTAGTTTATTTAATGCCCAGGAGCAGAAAAGGAGAATTTCAAAGAAATAATGCATTCTCACGAAATAATCTATTTTGCCCCGCCCTAGCACTATAACCCCTGACCTTTGGCCATGAATTTCACAGTTCTGGTAAAAGATTCAATGCTTAATAAATCATACCAACAGTTTGACTGCTTGATGTTCAGGAGTAAAGAAGATTTTTAAAGATTGCCCTAATTTTAGTGGTTTTGGCCCCACTCCCTAGGCTCCAAGGGGGGCAGGGACCATGAAATTCACATTTTTTGTTCCCCTTTACCCATAGATGCAAAACTTGTTTGAAATTGGTTTAGCAGTTTAATAGAAGAAGCTGAAAATGTTCAAATGTTAATGCACGACGCATGACGACGGAGGAAAGAGGATAGCAATAGGTCAACTGAGTTTACTCAGGTTACCTCAAAAGGGACTTTATATTATGCACTGTTACCGTCATTTTCCACTCCAAATGTTGAGGGTTCTGGAACTCCAATTGTTAAGGGTAGTGGGATTTCATCATTGGAGTGTGGAGCTGACAGGTCCCCTCCATCTGGATGAAGATTTCCCCCGAGGCCTCCCGAAAGATCAGGTACACTGATATCACCTAAAATCAAAGGGAACTTAAAAACTTAAAACCAATTCTATTGAAGAATATAGCTAACATGAGCCTTATTGTGTTACTGGGTATATTTTGTTTAAAAGAACCAATGTTGGGAATGACTGTCTCGTTACTATTCCAATGAAAGCTTTAACCGTTTGATGTGGCTGGAGATAAAGTGATTTTTACATACTTATAGATTAGCTCACGTGGCACAAAACTAAGATCGTTTGCTCTAGAGGAGTAAGGAATATATCCTTTTGTTGCGGGTTCGAATCTCATTGATGATTTGTGGAATAGTCCTTCGAAGTATGCAGTATGTGATTGTACGATATAGAGCCCTATATAGGTTGTGTCTCGAACATAAATTTAAATTTGCAGTCCTTCACCGACAAGTAGTGGAGTCTCATAATGAGTGAAAATCCTTGTTATGTGCGTTTAACAAACAAAAAGATATAGAACCAACCACATTTATGTAAATATTTATCTTTTGTGGATTGTATATTATATAAGTATATGGTCTTTGCTTCGCTTGGAAATATATGTGCATTTCTTTATCTTTTGAATTTCATTTTCTCTGTAATGTCTCTGTAATTTTACCTATTTACTTACTTTAGATTATTTGGAAAGAAAGGTGCAGCATAACACTAGTATTCAAACAATATGATAGTGATGATAACGCCAAAGGTGTCTTTAGGCTATGGAATATCATATCTAAAAAAATAAGTTGTATCTGATGGTGAATTTGTTGACCTCAGCCACATTAAAAAGTCTTACTGAGGTAACTCGGGACGTCCTCCATCATCATTGAGGAATCGCAGGGTCCAGATCGTAAGTCCGTGTAATCGACTGATACTGTTACATTATCCGGGCTTCTGTCGTCAACATATAGATATAACTGTAAAACACATTATCTCTGATTTTAAAAAAAACTTGAATAGATTTATTGTTTAGGTTTGATTGAAAAAAGATAACAGCGATGAAACTGTAATATTTTTTATCAGTTCAATGAACTAGAAGTAAAGGATACCTGACAGGGTTTGCCATACAAGCTTCATATTTGAATGTTTTACTGCCTAGAGTAAGTTTTGGCCAACTAATAACTAAACTATATGAGAAATGGGATAACGTCAGCTTTTCTCATTTTATCACATCATTTACTGCTATAATGTAATATTCTCTTGTTTATGTATTTATCTCTAAACTGTTTCGCTTCGTAAGGTCACGCTCTTAATAAAAAGATAATTAACAACGGGGCGAGCTCCTCCTGATGAATAAGTTTAGGTAACAAGGGCCTAAATAATCCGTACATAAGTCAAAAGTTCCTTAATGCCCCTCCCGTTGATGCTCCTCCCCTTGAAAACTGTTCCTTTTAGATATCGACCCGATTTCTAAGGTTCAGGTTGAAACTTTGACAAACTTTTATACAAAATTTCTATAAAAATAATAATAAAAATAATTTTTTAAAAAATGCCCCTGAAATTTGTACACCGGCCACTTTTTAACAACATAAACAAAGAAGTGTACAAAAACCATTTAAACTTTAGCATTGCACGCGTGCACATGAACAAAACAAATATAAACATATAGATAACATTAGCGCAGTATATCTGCCCCTTTTACACTATTTCAAGGAAATATAACTGTGGATGGGCAGAGGAGTGATAATGATCGACAAGAGACGTAATAAATACCGACTAAAGGTTTGAAAGCGTGATGAGGTGCAACTAATGTCTTTCTCTTTGTATAATGGTGTGATTAAGGTGTTTATACAATTTTTGATATCAAAAGCCAATACATTAAGGATCATACTTGTAATAAGCATAAGCGGTCTGGAAGAGTTTTCTGTGGTCGAAGAATGACCCTACTTGTCGTAGAATACTGAAACAGGGCCATTTTTCTAAGACGATTGTTAAACAATTTGTCTTTGCTGGTAAATGTAAAAAGTAACGGTGTCTTAAATTGATCACAAACAGAATTTTATCAAAAACGGTTTTTAGAAAGTTGCTAAGGTGAATATGATAGGTAATGACAAAATATCTGCGATGCGCTGTTTGCTTTAAAGAAGGTTGTATTGATTGTGTATAAAGAGTTAGTGAAATTTTTGAAAACTACTATCATGCGAATTCATCACAAATACATTTTATCTCTTATGAAAAAAAAATCACTTTATTAGTATACAAAATTCTCAGTAAACTGAACCCTTAATCTGGACATTTCGTTCAGTAGCAGCCAACCGGTTAGGAAAAGTTTACTGTATAACGCACTTGTTCATAAATTCAACATACGTTCCACATTCTACGTAGTCTGATTTGTATCATAGTTTGGTAAGTTATACTACGGATTACTCTTTCACCTCCCACTTCTAATGTGTCGAAGGTCCATGATTGCTCCGCTCCTATTATGTATTGTTGAATGGACGTTTGAGCTTGAATACTGTTCGTTATCTCAATATATTTCTTTTCACCTGATTGTTACATAGTTACATAGTGCGACTTTTCGTATTAAGGCAATTCTCACTCTTCTTATGAACCTTTGACGTTTCATTGTTCCTTTTTGTCCTGTTCACTATTCCATTTGTTTATTGCATTTAAAGTCATCATTTCGTAAATTCTACGGTAGATACAATGACCTTGTCAGCAAATACAATTTATCATATAGACAAATGCTGATTGACGTTTTTCATACTAATTGTTAGTCCATTATTTACGAACTGAATTGACCACGGATTTTCCCGTTATTTCCCGATCATGACAAAGAGCACACGGCAGGTGATCGGTCAGCAGGGGATGCTCACTCCACCATGGCACCTGATCCCACCTCTGATGTTTTGGAGGCCCGTGTTTGCTCTGCTCCTATTTTGTATTGTTTTATGGACTTTGATATTGAATACTGTTCGTTATCTCCATATCCTTCATTTATCTTTTATAATACCTTTTACTTTCAAGGATTATTGTGAATACTTAATAAAAATTATCTTCAAATGTTTTCTCCAGTTCATTAATTAATTCTACATACTTTGTTATTGAAAACTGTCTCTTTGTGTTAAGTCTTTATACTTATGATAAGGTCTTAAATGCTGAATATGTCAATGGTTGTAATTGATCACTAAAATAACTATATAACTGGAATCAACAAAAGAGCAGGGGTAGCAATTACCAAAAAAAAAAGGCAAATTGACCAGCCATAAACTCGCTTGACATTTCTCGTTAGATTTTGTTATGTCTACTTATGTATTCTCGTCCAAGTTTGTTATGTCTGTTCGCTTGTAAATTCTCGTTAAGTTTTCTTTGTCTACTCACTTGAAACCCGTCGTTGAGATTTGTTATGTTCACTCTCTCTAGATGCCATAAACCGCTGGAGTCCGAGTTATTCCTCAGCAAACTGAGTACCAAATCATCATCCATGTAAAGCTGCAAGTCTGCCTCACCGAGAATTTGGTATTGCACAAGGAAGCAATAGGAATTCTCAGTGTTATTAACGATTGGCGATAACAAAAATGCATCCCCATTTATTTCATTAAATTGCGAATACCTCAGATATCCTCCTGTAACCAAAGGAATATGCTAATTAATTAACAGTGCTAATTAATTAACAGTCTATAGGGAAAGTTTGGTGATCATCTTTACAGATCTATTCGCAGAACTGTGTGAATTACTCTTTCGAAAGAATTACCCTTCGGTACTGTTGAATTTGGACCGCCATGGGCGTGCATCCACCTCTTTGCATCTTGCCACATACAGATATTGCTATCAAATCCGCAGGCAAGCTGAGTATAATCTGCAGAATGATCGAATTCATAGAAATTTTTGTATTACTGTTAAATAAAGGTTATCATTTTTATTTTTGTGAGTGTGTGTGTGTGTGTTTGTGTATTTTTGATTTTAGTCAATAAAAATTAATTTAAAAAAAAATCTGTCTGATAAAAAAATTATTTTTAATTGTTTTTCTATTCCCAATTATCAAATACATCTTTCCACTCCAGCATTTTTTGATATTTGAAGTATTTATTTTTTTATCTTAAAAAAATTACTTCCTTCCATAGATTTCAATGCAATCTTTAATAATTTATTTCTGCTTAGGTAATAAAATTTTTGTTTCTCTTGGTAAATCCCTTTCTACTCTGATATGCTTTAAAATAATATCAGGATATTTTACAAACAATTGATATTTAAGGTTAGAAATTTTGGTCCTTATATGGGTCTTTTTTAATTTTATTTTTGTAAAAAACATTTCCATAACTTCATAAACAAAAAACAAAATGTTTGTCTAAAAACTAAGTTGAAGAATTACTTTTTTTAAAAAAATCTACCGCAAACGAAATAATAGAATATAACTTACCAACTGTTTTAAAAGCTGAAAAAGTAATTTGAAATTGTAACTTTATAGCTAATATGATTAATCAATACATAAAAATTAGATAGCAAGATAACAAATAATAGTCAAGTTCAAAGGTCATTAGAAACAATACGAAAAGGGAGCAGAGCAAAGGCATCTGCTTTACATGTGCCATGGAAGAGTAAGCAGCCCCTGCCGACCGGTCAAAGCAACCCTCTCTTCCTGTGATTTATTTTTTTATCGCCATCCTTTTTCATTAAATAATAATCTGCTATCACCTGCTCAAGTGCTATTTGTCTCCTAACTCATTCGATACATAGCATACCCTAAGAATCTAAATCAAGTTTAAATTATTATCACAAGAATTTCAACAACCTTGTTTAAAGTCAACATTTTGTGACGTTAATCGTTGTTATCATCACCTTATTAGCAAATGAAACCTTAAATTGGAAATGCATTTTAGCTGAAGTTAACCAGAAGGATATGGAGAAAACAAACAGTATTCAATATCAAAGTAAATGAAAAATACAAAATAGGAACAGAGCAAACACGGACCTCCAAAACATCAGAGGGATTTTACTTGAAAAAGACTTTAATGGTATTCTAACAACCAAGCTCTATGATAAACGTGATGACTATAAATTTTCTATCGTCCGCTGCCCTTACTAATGCAGCAATATACCTTCATCACCTGCATACGACGTTAATACATCTCAGTTGATTCGATACGCAAGAGCATGTTCTACGTTTGAACAATTTCTAAAACGAGGTAAATTATTGACAAACACGTTGATGAATCAAGAAACAACAATATTAGCAGTCTCGTTTAAAGTCATTATTTCGTAAGTTCTTTCGTCGATACAATGACTTTGTCAGCAAATAGTCAAATGCTGACTGACGTTTTTCCGTTATTTATCGATTATGACAAGGAGCACACAGCGGATGTGACTGATCGGCAGGGGATGCTCATTACTCCATGGTAACTGATCCCACTTTTGATGTTTCAGAGGTCCTTGTGTGCTCTGCTCCTATTTTGTATTGTTTTATGGACTTCGATATTAAATAGTGTTTTTTTATCTCCATACCCTTCATAAACAAAATACATGGTCATTGTTTTGAAATATGAGCAATATATATGTGCTCGGCCTCCCCTCTATCACGTTTCCTTACCCTTGCCCAAATATCGCTTATATTTCAAGACAGTTATCTTGTGTTTTATATATTTTTAGTCTTAACCCATGTTTAACGAGGCCGAGTCTGATTCGAGTCTGCATGACTTTCCCATTGTGATTTTAATGTAAAGTTATAACACATTTTGTCAAGTCTACTGGTCTGAACATGAGATTTTAAGACAATAATTAGGAAAAACGCTGAAATGGCTCTAACGAAGTCACTGTTTTCCGATTTTGTAAGCAATGCATCACACATGACTCGCTCATGACTCGCTTATGTGTTTGTAGACGTCCGTGGATATCATACTAGAAACTGATGACAGAACATCAAAAGAAACATATTAGTATTTTTTTTACCAAGAAAATTATCTGCGTCGATAATTCATCTGCAACGATATGTATTAATACCGCAATATGGCAATTTTAGAGGTATTTGGCATCGAAAAAATAAACTTTGTAATTGAGACTAAGGCCAAACTGGGAGGTCAACGTTTTTTTGTTTTTGTGTTTTAAAAATCACAATTTAGTGACTTTTAACAAAAACCTTCATTAACTTAACTGAACAAGAAATCTCTTAAGGCAGAAATAAAACAAATAATTTGGCGCTTTTACAAAAATCCCCATAGGGTCCATTAGTAAAAATTGACAACTTTAGAGATCCCTAAAATATCGGGATGGTAAACATTCGACTTTTTAATCAGAAAACAATAAATATAACAGTGAAAATTAATTCACAAAAAATTCTAAAAAAACAAAAAAAACTCAAAATCCCTAGTGGATAAATAATAAGACTTCTTCTCGTTAAAAGAATAAAGTATTATTTGAAAAAAAATCAATATAAAATTATTCATGCAAATTTTGGAAATATGTTTCTTGCAAAAGCAGTTTATAAATGTTTAAGATATATGATCTGAAATTGATAAAATGATGCATTATATAATTCATTTTCTTTCGAAATAATAGATAAAACTCATTTCGCTATTCTTTAAAATAATGATCTCAAAATGTTTTTAAATACATTTTACCATTTATAAAACTAATTTGAATAAGAACAATATACATCAAAGTTGCAGAATTATGTTTTTCCAATGTGAAGAATTAAATTCTTACCTATAGGTGGGGGGATAATACCTGAAATGACATCAATTTAAATTTGTAAAAAGAAATGATTTTTCTTTCAAGTTAAATAAAATAATTTCAATGTGGCATCATAAGCCGGAAAGGTTAATCAAGTTAAATTACTCCTGAAATGCAACTTATTATATAAACAAATTAATTATTAAATTATTAATAAATAGATTAAAATCTGATTTCCTTACCAATTGTCTGTATAATACTTCCGTCATTTTGGTCTGCATTAAGTAAAAGAATGATTGGTTATTTATCACTGTTCATAAATTAGAAATACACACACTTGTTTCAAGGCCATCTTTAACAGGTCTGGACGATTTCCAAATATGGAAGTCAAGAACGATAACTGAAAGTTGCTATAAATATACATCAAGCATACGTAATTAGTTTTTGTCCAATCAGACATCATTTTTACACACTCCTAAACATATTTAAGGAACAAAAAGAAAACACGTGCATTTTTCCTCATAAAGATTTTTTTAAACAAAAAATCTTTAGAGATGAAAACTTTTGATGAATGAGGTATTCCCCACATATTTACCGTGAACAACCTTGATATTTTTATCTTGGTAAAGAAAAAAAAATAATGCATGATACAATGTAATCATTTACGGAGGAATAAATCACACTAGCAAGTTCTTATCAAGTTCAAGTATAATATTTATTAAAATATACTTTAACTTGGTAAATATAAATTTGCTTAGCCATCCGATTTTCATCGATGTTGCTTATGTGTATAGATCCACCTTATACACAAGTGTTTATCGTATGGACTACTTATAGTTTTAAAATATCACGGATTTCATGAGCATCAAATACTATGCAGAGCTATGCAGACTTTAAATGGGCAAAAGGAAAGGCGTAAAACGTGGAGGAAAGAGAATAACTATAATTATACATGAATGCGTTTTATTCCGTTATCTTACCTCGCATACCAGAAACCGCAAGGACGGTTTTGTTATATTCTCTCAAAAAATACTTAAGACTGTTTTCCATTCCATAAGATTTTTATCTCAGGCTCTAAAAACTGAAAATTTTCCGTATTTATATCAAAAGTTTTGCGTAAGTCAAACTCTTGGGGTTGCTACCTCCTAGTGACGTTTTCTACTCTTTCAAATTCTGTTGTTCACGGTAGAATTGTCATAAATATTATATTATTCCTAATGTGTGTTTACAAAAAAATTGTTCCAAAAAGTCTTTTTAGCAAATAACTATAAAACCACGTATCTTATTTATTTTTTTCATGGGTTTGTATAAATGCTGTTATCTGATTGGTCAGAAGGACTAACACCTTGTTTATTCTGTGTATTTATAGCAATTCAGGGTTATCGCTCTTGACTTTCTTATTTGGAAATCATCCATACCTGTTTCAACCATAATAATGTGTTCGGAACTTTTTATTTTTCGGTGTTCTGCAAATTATAAAACCCGAGGAGTTCAAAGTAGCTTTGGAAGTAGCTCTGGCGAGAGTCAGCGAGACTACAGCGAGATTGGGTAAATTATTCACGGAAATGTGGCTAGGAAGTGACTAGCACGTGGAGACTTGGTAAACAGAGAAGCTATGTTCTGTTTCAATTTTTACCACCCTATGATATCTGTAGAAATGTACTTCAATTTCATTTGAATTCATTCAACTTTAATAAGTTTATATATTCTCTATGATATTATTTTTCTGCATTCATGGATTAAAAATTCTTTTTGGACAAATATACATGTATTTGGAACCGGGACTATATTTTTTGGCGTCAGCTTAGCAAATGAGGCACAGACATTACTTTAACTGACAAATCAGATGAATGAGAATTGCATTTTGGGTTACCACGGGTACTACAGGAATTTTACACCTGAAAAAAAAACAACAAATGTAATGGCGATGGGAAAGGCATGCACAAAGAACATTTCCACCCATTTCGTAAAGTAATTTCAACTGTTTCTTTTTGTCCTATTATTTCCATGCTAACAATGCATGACAAGCAATTCATTTATTGCATAAACGTAAAATTCTATAGCTAGGTTTTCCTAAGTCAGACTAGAAGGCTATTTGAGTCTGTATTAATTCCTTTGTTGTACTATCGGTGAATACAATTGTCAGGTGGATTCCCTGGCAATAAAGACGTGTGATCTGTATAAATGCTCAGGAGATCCTGCTCGGTTTCCTTACCCTTGAACCTCGTGTGTTCTGAACTTGAACTACATTTTATTATACATATTTTCTAGTTAAAAACAAATTAAAAACGCCGGTGACATTTTTCATGGTTTCAAATCTTTGTATTTTTTTCAGTTGAACATTTTTTGTGGCCCATTTAATATTGATCATAGATTGACCTGAACCACGTGTTCGAAGTAAAATAAAAACATGTATAGTTAGCGTAAATTTTGCTATTCATTCCACGATTGGTCAGTTGGTGCGTGGTAAGATCTGTCGTGCGCATTGATAACATTAGCCATATATGGCATACAAAGGTTTGTCAGTGTAAATGATATTGTAAACACATTTCCTTCTATCATGGTTTCGTGGCTTGAATTTAAATCGCAATAACATTAGTAGGGGTGTGTTTATATTCTGTTTGGTATTATTTTTCTGCATTCAAAATGGCTTAAAAATTTCTTTTTTCTTATTTTTCCTTTTATCTCTACGACAAATATGTTGAAATTTTATGGATAAAAGATTTTCCGACCTACCTGCTGACACAATTATTTTACCTTGAGTCGGGAGATTGCAAACAAACATTATTTTAAAGTTGGCCCAAAAATTTTTATAAAAAAAAAATATGTGGATACCTATTTTGGTCTTACTACATTAAGAAAATATTCCTGTAACTTGAATTTCATTTGAAAAAAAAACTTCAAGTGTGCAAATGTATCTGGACATTGGAAAGGCATTCGCAGGAAGAACTAGTTTCTTATTATACAAAAATAAATATCGGTTCTTAATCTAGAGTTAAATATATCATAACTTGTATTGTTCTTAGTAAATTTTATTAAGGTCTTCCGTCTTCACGGAAGACCTTATAGCGATTCTACTGTTTCTTCTTATTATTATTATTTTCCTGACCATCTAATTTTGTGCACGCGAATTCTCGAAGACTATTTGATGGATTTTATTAAATTCCTAATGTGTTGTTATATCGGTTATTTTACAGAGATTTTTTGGAAATTCGCTTCCGGTGCCAAGTTATAGATCTTTTCCTGAATTTAAAATGACATTTTGTCCGCGATTCATCTCCCTTAAACCTTTCAGTGTGTTCTGATATTCACTATCCAGGAACGACCTTTTATTATACATATTTTTGTTTCCAAAAACAAAATTTAAAAAGTCTAATTTTCTAACTTTTTTTGTTTTTCAATATTTTTGAATAATTTTAATATGGTTAATAGAAACCCTTTTAATTAGGCTTAATATATAGTTTGTTTGAAATTTGATAAATCCAAACTCTACATATTAACATTTAAAAATTCGAAAAAAATGGCGTATGTCTCTCTCAGCGTAACATTTAGCGCGTAGGGGGTTATTCCACGTTTGGTCAGAAACTAACACAAGGATAAAAGAAATGTAAAAGAGTACTTTGATTGTCACGTCATAGATAACATTGCTATTCTGTTTTATATATGGCATACAAAGGTTTGTCAGCTGTAAATGAATTGTAAACACATTTTCTATATCTACTCCTTTTGTTTTGTCGTGGCTTGAATTTAAATCGTAATATACATGTAAGCATGTGTTATCAAACAATATATTTGGTAGGCCCCTGTTTTCCCATGCAAACTAATAGAAAAGAATAAAATAAGTAAACCAATTTTTCAAAAGATTGTTTAATGAAGTTTTTAAACATTTGTTTTCTAACAAATATGTTAAATTTTAACATAAAAGATTTTCCTTGACCTACCTTGGGTGACACAATTTCATTTTTTAATGAATGTGTAACTAATTGCAAATTGAACATTATTTTAAAGAATTATAGCCATATTCAAAACTTTTATAAACGATAAAAATTTATGTTTTGTACATTGAACGTATTAAATGACTTTTAAAACTCACAATTTAAGCTATGAGAACGTTCTTAATTTTATTGAAGCTATCACCCCTTTTAAATAGAACTTTCCAAACGTGAAGATTTTGTGCGAAATTATGTAATAGTGACCAACCTTTCACAATTTCAAGATGATATACTGTTGCAGAAATATTTACAAATAAATTTAGTTTCTTATTATACAAAAATAAATATCGGTTCTTAATCTAGAGTTAAATATATCATAACTTGTATTGTTCTTAGTAAATTTTATTATAATACTTATTGTTCATGTGCATTAATGTGGGATTTTAACTTGCAACATGACAGATTTCTTTTTTTTTTCTTTTGAGTTTAACTCTTACCTTTTTCTGCTTCTCTTTGTCTCTCTAGGTCTTCATAGAATGATTCTGTTTCCCCAAAAATGATACACATTCATATACATAAATGATTTACATTCTTTTTTTCATGATATTTCTACAGAATTTGAAATCTTTTTTAAAGCATCATATAAGAATTTGGACTTCGATGTAACAGTATTTTATCAGACTATTTAACTCTGCAGATCATTTGATGAATCATTATCTGAGCCTTTTTCAATTTATTGGAAAAGATGTTTAGGTATATGATGAAGTTAACTGTGAAATGTACCTTGATGGGCTACATGTACACATGCTATTAATTAATGTTTTGTTAATAATCTTACCAGCTAGCTCTGCTGACATTGTAGATGTCATCAGCTCTGAAAATAGAAAATGCTGAATTGTAACTACACGACCCTCGATTAAAACAGCTCAGGAACCATGAGTGTAGTAATACTAGTATGCCTTGTCTATTTAATACTTTATATAATTTACAAAGATATTTTTCGATCAATATATTGCAAAGAAGACTTACAGAATGGTCTTAAATAGAGAAGATCAATGATGTTCTATCAACATTTGATTTGGTGTCAGATTTATGGCAGCAAAACGTGAATAATCACAATATGCGATTGAGGCTGAGATTACCTTGGGCGGAAGCTCCTCCTTGGTTTTGATCTCCATTTACCGTTATTTCACAGTTTGATTTTTGGTCAGATCCTTCAAAAATATACATTCATGTTTGCAATATCGTCTTAATTTGTGTTTCCTTTTTTCAGGAGAATATTTTGTAATCACAGTTATATCTAAATAGAAGCACATATTAACTATTATATTTTACTGGTTCACATTACCGAATTCGCGGTAAATCAAAATGCCTCCTCCTGCTCCTATCGCCATGGCAATCATGGCCACAATCATCAACCGGATAAAGCCGCCATTCTTTTTCTGATGTTTCTCCTCCAGTTGTGGCATCTGGTGACCCGTGTCTTCTGGGATACTTATGTTAGCTTCTGAGCGAATAAAGGAATAGTTATATTTGAAAGGTCACCTTAGGCTCATTTTGATCGCTTTAATCATCTCGAGTTTGCTTTTTTTCAAAATAAGGAAAAATTTAAGAATTACTTGTATTAATTCAATGTAAACTTTAACCCCACCACTCCCCACGATCCGAACTTTCCTTGTTTATTTCCTTATTTCAATGGATGCTCACTCCTCCATGGCACCTGATCCCACCTCTGATGTTTTGGAGGTCTGTGTTTGCTCTGCTCTTAACTTTTGTTTTTATGGACTTTAATTTGATCTTGAATACTTTTCGTTATCGCCATATTTTTCATGCATAAACTTTAAAGGGAATTTTGTTTAGCATAATGATTTATTGATTGCCTGTTTACTTTTTGAGGATTATAATGTTTTTTCTCTCTCGATATATTCCTATGTAAAGTGAAACTAGTTGACAAACTAATTGTTCACTACATTTAATTAATGAATTTGATTAAGTATAAATATAAATTAAAGTTCCATTATTAAACATATTATCCTCACAGTTGATAGAACGTTCGCTCCATTTTTCGGAAGGCCATTGGTTCAAACCGCGAAAGCCTTAAATCGATAAGAATAGATAGATATTCTGATGTTCATTTGACACCCCCTATCCTCCACAATGTGATCATGCTCTTGTTCAAGATTTCAATGATTTAAAGAAATATGAATACTTAACTTCATACAAAAAAACTGTTATAAAGGTTTCATATTTAGTTAGTGGAATAGACGGAAAAACTGGTCATAGATATGTTTTGATTTTAACAATTTCTACAATTTTTTCTAATCGATATCTAATAATATGTTATTGCTTACATTTAAACAACGGAAAGCACATGATCATGGAAAAATTTGTTTTTAAATAGCTAAATTATCATCATTTCATTTTATTTTGCAGAAACACCTGTAAACTTATAAACAATCTAATTTTTCCTACCAGAAACACATTTTTTGCTCTATGAGATGGAGTGGTCAATTCCAGTAAATTAGAACATTTTTTTGCTATATGAGATGGAGTTCGTGTTCTCCTGGCTATTTCAACCTAGTAATTAAACAAGGAATACACTTATATCGTTTTACAGATAATGTAAAAAATATTAAATATCATATTGCCTCTAAATAAAGGATTAGAAAGAGGTTATTAAGGTCTGTGATAACAACTGGTGCTAGATCCATTATGACGTCATAATCAATTTCAACTTTCTTTTTTCCCCGTACTTTACGGCTTTAGCAGAATTATGTAGAAAATAGAGTATTTTCATGTCATTCAATTTGAAATCATATGAAAAGTAAACCGGATACCTATATTAAATTTGATATTGATTTAAAGAAGAGGCCATGAACATACTAATTACCGTTTTCTGAAGACTTAAACACATTTTCTTTGCCGAATACAAAAAAATACATATATCGTTTTCTTACATTGAAAATGACAGTAAAAAATACATTTTTCATCTTGTTTACCTACATGCCATATTGCCAAGCTAAAGTTGTAAAGCATCAGAAAGGAATTTATTTCTCAAGTTTGATAAATCTGTAGGCACCTTTCATTTACTAGATCTTGACCTTAAAGTAGATATTATGTAAATTGACTTTCTATTATGGTTTTCGTTTGTATGTTGCTGTTTTTTTATGTTTTATTATCATTTTTATTGAAAGTAAGTTTTAAATATTATAAAAATGATTTAAAGAATATAATCGATTAATTTTCCTTTTTAACAACTATTATTCTGGTATTTTATCGTTTATTAATAATTTTTAAATAACAAAAAGAAACCACATATCAGGACATATATATTTGAAAAATATTTGTAAATAATGGCGACCATAAAATTTGAATATTTAAAAGAACCTTAATTGAAATACTAGTATAAGATAAAGCCCTGGCAAATTCAATGAATGTATGTCTTTAAAAGAGAGAAATTTTCAATGAAATATCATATATCCTGGAATATTGAATTTATATAAGTAACTGTACAAAGATTATCAATTAAATATATGTTTCAGACTACCATCTGTCGGCTTTTGTGTGGTGTCTAAATCACGTGACAAAATCAAGGGAGTTAATCAGTACAACAACAAACAATCTCTGTTTTACTCTCAAATAAACCGATTTATTAAACAACATTCAAACCTATTATTTAAGAACATTCTCAGTGCAATATATTCCAACAATTTTCTCTAATTAATGGTCGCCAACTTTAATACTGGGGAGTCCGATTAAAAACATTTTTTTTACTGTTCGCTAAATAATTACTGTATAAAAGTGATTAATGAACAGTTGTTTGAATAGAAGACAGGTGTATTTCCTTTTTTTTATTATAAATTTGACTTTTTACTAATACTTGAACAAAAAAGCTTTATTGACATAAATATTAAATCCTATTTACCCCCCTTATCTATCCATTCTATAATTAACCTATTTCAATGCCTTTCCATGATAAATCTTTTTATTTTATGTTCTACATATGCGAAAGTCAAGATATTGAAATGCATTTTCTTGTAACACCTTTTTTCTGTTAATTTTTCAAATCCATATACTTTGTAATTACATGAAAGAAATCATATTTTCTCAAAAATCTTTTCATTATAATCTGTCTTAACTATACACAGTACAGCTTAATCTAAGAAGTGATGTAATTTGTCTAATTACTGTAAAAAGATATTAACTATTTCAACATCTATTGTTGTAAGCAAGTGGGGCTAAGTGGAATTGAGATTTTTAAAAGCGGGAATAGGTAGACGACACTCGCTCAATGTATTTTCAATGATCCTGTCATCAGCATTAAGACAGCGAAATAAGTCTTTGTAGAGCACAAAATTCGCATGAGAGGATATTCATTTGTTTTACATAAATAATAAATCCCCATTTCACTTGTTTTTAATTTCAATAATATTCTAAAGATGAGATTTAATTTAACTTACGTCAGGTGAGTTCTCCGAGTTTATGACAGCCATCAGAATTTCTGATTGATCACTTCTCTATGATGTTCAGAGCAGTTTATGGCGCATGAGTGTCAGTTCTTTTTATACCAGCATCCCGAGGTTCTACCGATTCTCTGCAAATCGAAATGATATACATATACTAGTAATACCTACCTTCTGATAGATGGTAATTGCTTAAAATGTTCTTAGATATAACAAGAATAGATATGGGTTACCCCATATCCAAAGATATTCGACTGTTTGATTTAATATGTTTAACAGTGTTTATAAAAATAAAAAAAAAACTGTGTCTTATATATAAAAAAAAAAGTTTACATATATACATTAAAAATTTACACACGTGCAATTAAACTACTCGGAGAAACTTTTGTTTTGCCGAAATTATAAAAATTCTTTTCTTAATTAGATCATATAAATACGAATTCTTTAATAAAAATTTACAATCCCTGTTGAACTTTATATAGTTTGTTCTAACATTTGCATCTGCAACAACTTGTGTTTAAAATGGCCGGGTTGGGAAAATCAGGACTGGGTCGGAAAATTCTAAACTGAAAACATGGAAAACCTTTTTTGTTTTGAAAATAACTGAAATATACTAATATATTTGTCGCAGAAATTACTTACATTATTCAAGTTCTATATATAATGGTATGCTGAACTTCAACACGAACCCGAATCTCCAACCCATGCAGTTCTCGTTTTGCCACACATACCCTTCAATTTACAAAGTGTACACACGAGCAGGCCAGGGATTTCCGTCATTTAATAATACACACACAGAATGATTAATTTTTTCTTTAAGAACAAATTGTATGATAATTAACGGACTATAAACACAATACAATTTTGATATAGTATTATCAATTCATTGAAAAATTCAATTTAATTATTCCAAACATTTTACAACGTATTCCCCGATATTTTTTACCAATCTTGGTTTTTTGATTTCTTTAACGTGAATAAATGAACTTGAACTTGAATTAATTTTAAATATGTGTGAGCTGCCGCTGAATACAGTTATATATCTTGCAAAGATAGTATGCATTGATCGAATATATAGAAAAAGTGTACACATATACATTAAAAATTTACAAATTAAACTACGACTTATAAGAAATTATAGAAATTAATTTTTTTTTAACTTTTAGCATCAAACGTGGATTTATAAAGACATTCAATTTGTCATATTCCCCATGGATCTTGGACGGGTTAATAAAAAACTTGAACTTGAATTAATTCTAAACTTATGAAATATATGGAGACACCATTATTCCAGCTCAAAAGTCCATCAAACGTGGAAACACACTCGCTGACACTCGCTGAGTGCTCCTTGTCACGATCGGGAAATAACGGGGAAAAACCGTAGACAATATTTCTGTGTGCTCACAAAGCCATTGAATTGACCATAGAACTTACGAAATGATTACTTTAAACTAGACTGTTGATAATCATGTTTCATCAACTTGTTTGTCAATGACTTACCGGTATTTCGTTTAAGAAACTGATTATAAGAAAAACATGTTCTTGCGCATGGAATCAAATGAGGGATATAAACCCGTATGCAGGTGATAAAGGTATACTGCGGCATAAGTAAGGAATTTTAACGATTGAAAAATTGAAGTCATCATGTGTATCATAAAGCTTGGTTGTTAGATTACAATTAATTTCTTTTTCTGTGGTAAAATATCCAAATTTAAAACAAATACCACACATATTTTTGGAAACCCGAAAT